TGAGGGGGGGGGGGGGGGTGTATGCCACTGGCTGTACTTCCTGAATGGTTAGGGCCCCACTTTTGTCAAACCCCTTGAATTACAGCTGAAAGTCCTGACTTTGCTCCCATCTGGGTGTATTTCCTTTCAGTTTCAATGTGGTGGTGTACAGAGGCCAAATGCCAAGACAGTTATCTTTGTTCCAATATTTTTGGTCCTGACTCTATATTACCTGCGTAGATGTTGTCTGTAAATTCACTTGTACTTTTAAAATTAAAAAGCTTTTACTTCCAAAAAGAGTGTTTTCACAAGTTACTTTGATTTTTCTACTTCACTTTTCATTTTTTATGATCTGTCATTTTGCCTTTCTCATATATCAGCAGTCAACCATTCATACTTAATGGTATTTTTTGTGTTTTTTGTTTTTTGCAGTGTTTATTTATCTGCAAAAACTTTCAGGAGTTTTTGATGCTTCTGTTATTTGAAAATGGCTAATGTTACTATTGCTTTCAAAAAAGTGTTCTGTGTATTTTAATGAGTACAGAAGGCCATTAACTATAGCATCAACTGCAGTGTATGAAAAACATTTTAAAAACTTTAGATTACATATAATTATGCATTATTTTTCTTGCACTTTAAAAACAGGGCACCATACAAAAGGTAAAAAGAAACAAACTGCCTGCAGGCTCATAAAGTAAATGGGAAATAAATATGAAAATCCAAAATTATTTACCATGGAAAGTCAGTGTTAACTGTGTATGAACAGAATGGAGACTAAGATGATCCTCCTGAGCTGGGCTGTACTATCTCATATTACAGCTTTTCGTATTTTGAATGTTTTGAAAAGAAATAAAGATTCCAAACTATAACATGATGGTTCTACCCTCCAAAGATGGAAGATGCTCATTTATAAGATATTTCCTGAGAAACAAAGTGCTTGAGTAACACTTTTCCCCATATGGATGAAGGTGTTCAGTTGTGCTTTAAATTTGGGTTCCTCAAAGCATTTGAAAGGGGTATTTTGCAGTGCACATCAGTATGAGAGAAGCAGTTCTTGAAGTAGCCAAATAGCCGGGTCCTCTGGAAAACTCAGCTGCTTGTCAACCTTTCTCCTCATGCATGGATGTATATAACTGATCTGCTTCTGGTTCACTTCACTGATAGTCCCAGCAGAAGTGTTGTCTGCTCCTTCAGATCAATCACACTGAGTCTTCTGGAGGATCCTGCAGCTTCAGCACTTCACAGAGAGATGCTTCACTTGCACCAACGTGGTTTATGAAACACCAGTTTGAATGCTTTCCACAGGCTTACTTTAAATGTACATTTACATTTGTAGTGTTCATGAACACTTCACAAATATCTGTCTCAAATACAATTTTATTGCATTATTGCTAAACATAATACATTTTCTCTCCAGTGCGCTTGTGTTCTGATCGACTCAGCCTTATCCAGGAATGTCTCTCTCGGCTGCCCACAAACTATAAGCAATCTGCCAAGCTTTTGGGACTTGCAAATTTGCTGAAGGTTGCAGGTAAAATCAAATATGATTCTTAATTTGTGTTGGTTGATTTTTATAGACCATTTGTTTAAGGGCTTATTCAGAGATTCTAAATTGTCTTCAAAAAAGTCTTAAATTATATTCAGAGATTATATCACTGTAAACCATTGTAACATTTTCTACATAAAATACCAATGAATTTATTTCATTTGAGATTTAATTACACAGTCCTCTATCACCAACAGAATATAAAGCAAGTAAAATACATTTGTTACCTACAATCAGTCTATAAATCTCTTCTTCCTGTTACTTTGGAAATTATGATTATCTGTTTTCTGCAAAACCAATCTAATTTGCCATATTTAAAATGTAGATTAAATTTGGTATTACCAATAAACTGTAGTATGGAAGGGTTTTTTTTTTTTTAATCAGTTTCAGAAAACTGTTTCATATATATTACACTTCTTTCTTTCCTGTCATTGGCAAGATGAAGGGAAGAATTATATACAAATCACTGTGTTACCACTCTCACAATGCTTTGCTAATTAACATACACAAAGCACAAGTTCCTGCCCTGCAGAGTATACACTCTTCTGCCATTATAAACAAGGAATTCTTAATCTCTACAGTTGTAAATCTTAATATACAAAGCCAAGGAGGCTTTTAAAATGGAAAGTAGTATATGCTTTGGCATGTAGTTGTGTGAGTAAAAGTAGAAATGTATTTAACTTTATTTTTGAATTTGGAGAATGAGTTGATAGCCTTGGGTGGTCACTGAAAAATGCCGGTGTCTCAGGATATAATTTGATATTGTTTGCTGTTGAATTTATAGTAATAGTTTCAAGAGGGCACTGTACAAACATCTTACAGTATGTTAGCTAAAAGATTAGGGCTTTTTGCAAACATTTTCTTCTGGTATTCAAAAAAAAGATGAAAAGGAGAGAAAATAGTATTTCGTACACATGTGTATATTTATTAAATTACAGGCTGCCTGATTCCTTTGTTGTTTGTTATTTAAAGAGAAAAATCTGTAATCAACAAATGTTGGCCTCAGTGACATGTCTTTCTAGTAAGGCAAACCTCTTGGTGGTGGAGTGGAGGGCCTTTTTCAAAACTCAGCCTAAAACCTGGGGTGGGGGAGAGCTCTCTCTCTGCCCCTACGTGACACGGCCTCAACTATCTTGCATTGTCATCCTGCCATATGGTCCTCTTTCTCCTCTTCCATAGTTGCTAATCATGGACCTGGTCACCAAATGTTTGCCCATCCTTTTTGTAGAGCATGTTGCTTAGATTATATTCCTGCAGTTTCAGATGTTTTTGAAATCTAGTCCCAATGAGATCTTGGGGAGCAGGTATGATGGATTTGTGGATAACTGAATAATTATATTGAAAGCATCTGAAGTATGCTGAAGTGGTTGGGGGCACTTGAATGATTATTTTTTTAATAAAAAACCTGGCTTGAACTCTATGTTAAATAGAAGAGTGACTTTCTCAGTGGTTATTCTAGTCACTGTATTTGTCTTTAAGCTTGCATTATTAAAGGGCTATTGTTCATTAGCCTTTCTAGTTTTGTTTTATAAAAGGAGTACTCTCATACTTTGACACTAATATTTATCACAGCAGTGAATTAATTTGTTCACTTCTGGCAGAAGAGAAATTTCAGCACAGCATATGTCTATTCTCAGAACCTCTGTATCCTTCATTACTTGATTTCATCTTATCAGATTCTTTATCTCCCTGAGAGACCATGCTAACACACTATAATTCTGAAATTTATTTTGAATATCTTCCTAACTCTCACAAAAGATAACTGAGGATGCAAAACTCATTGGTAATTCTGAGCTCCAGTAATCTTTTGCTAATTCTAAAAGTCTGTAATAATTCTCCTGCTCTTAAAATGATAGCATACTAAATATGTTCCACCTTAAATTGAAAGTATAGACCAGCTATTTTGTTTGTTTGTTTGTTTGTTTAAAAAATCTGTTCTTACTGGTTATTTGGAACACTTGTTTGAATTATGGTCTGCACTCATCCTGAAGTTAATAATAGCTTCTTTTAAAAAAGCAATATGAATTTGTTCTATTAGCATTCACTGAAAAATAATTTAAAACATTATAGCTGTTTTTTTTTCCCTTTTTTGGAGATGGAAGGTACCATTGGAAAACAGTGATGGGGAGGGTATGCTCAGGGATTATAAGGCAAATTTTTCTCCCCCAAGCAGCCAGTAAGCCAGACTCATATCCATAAAATTCAGCCCTTTTCTGTCCTCAGCCAGACCTGGCCCTGCCTGCTGTTGTCAGTTTTCCCCCATTAAGGAGGAGGTTTGCCCATCTTCTATTTTTCAGAAAGCTTCTGGGTTCATGTGGGGCCCAGAACAATTGTGTGAATCCAATTATAGTGTAAAGAATTTCTTTTTCAATTGAGAGGGGTCAGTCCTTGGAAGGTATACAAGAAAGGTAGAAATCTATGAAATATTTGACAAGGATTTCAACAGCTAGGCTCCAAGTTTGATTTATATAAATCTTTAAATGACAGTGCAAATTAAAATGAAAGTAACAGTCTGCAATTATTTACAGAGAGCTAAAAAAATCAGGAGAAATAAAGCAAATTATGCTAGCATAGAAGCCAACATAAAGGATACTGAATCAAATTTCGGAAGACTAGCTATGTGTTGCATAAACTTGGCAACCAGTACCTGGAATTGCACACTGGAAATAAGATGGAAGTGGTACAGCTTGCAAAAGACCAGAATAATAATGTTTCATAAAACTAACCCCACTCCAGCTGCTATGTATTATCTTCAAAAAGTTTTCTGTCTCATCTGTTTGTGAAAAACAAGTCTGAGAACTCCCTGCTTTACTGTCTATGTTAGTTTTCTACAATGTGGTGCCCTACAGAGATGCTAGATTGCAGTTGTCAACAACCATGGCTGTTGCTGCCAAGGAGACATATAGAAGCTGGGCCCAACACCTCTAGAGAGCATCATGTTAAGGAAGTGCGGGTTATATTCTGATTATTTTTCACTGTCTGCATTCAGGAGAGATAGGAATTATACTTTAAAACAAATTTTCATAGATTAATTCTGTAATAGATTTTTAAAAACAGTATTTCATGGCAGTCTCAAAGATGCTTGGCATCTAGCCTTCATGAAACAGTCTTCAAGAGTGACTCCTAATTGTGATTCATTTATTGCATTTTAACATTGAAAAGATCTGGCATAAATATTGCTTGGGGCTGTTACTAGCTGCAGGAATTGCTCCTTAAGTCATTAATTGTAAAAATCCTTTTAAAATAATTTTTGCTTCAAAATGACAGTGACAGTCATGGGAATAAAATTGTTTATGAACTCTGTAATTAGTGATTATATGTAGTCTTTTTTCCTAGAGGGAGAAAAGAGGTTTTTTATTTTGAGTAATAAATAAACAGGTGATCTTATTATTGAGGAAGATCTGAAATCTGTATAGATGTTAGTTAGGTTCTGTTACTTGTACAATAATTGTACCATGCATGCCACCATGAGAAAAGATCTATGTGTCAAAGCACAGAAAACCATAAAAAAATCTGTCTGTGGTAACAATAAAAATAATAACTTGTGAAGAAGTTTCTGTACATTTATCAGTTGTATTTTGATGTTTATCCATTGTAATAACATGACCTCTGTCCTGTATACATCTATTGTATTAGATATAATATTATTTTTAGCTTGTTTTATTTCTATAAATTTATAGAATTTATAGAAACAAATTTCAAAATAATCTACAGAATACTATTTTTCTGATTTTTATATTATGGTATAATAATAGTACATCCAGCATTTTCTGCACATCTGTTGGATGCATTGACTGTCCCAGTATTCAGACTACAATGTTTTGTACCTTGCAGCATTCCCTTTCCCTACCTGGTATATCAGTTACAATATTCTGGGAATATATTTGCATATATCTACTGACTAATACCTTTGTGAAGTGATGCAGTTTGTTTCCTGCTGTTCTTAGTAAATGAACTAGCTACCTTATCTTGCCTGGCATATAGGCAATTTTGCAGAGGAAAGACATTTTTCAACTTTGTTGCTTCTATTTTTCTAGAAGTAACTAAGATTATATGCTGTGACTTAGCACTTCCTTTAGGTGTTCTCTAATGCCTAAACCTACAGTATATTTTTATTTTACTTACAGAATTTATATCCTAATGTTCTGCCAAAATCATGCTCAAGCAGTAGATGCCAATTTTAGAAATCAAGTTTGAAAACAAATTCTCATTCAAAATAAGCAAATCAGCTTAACATGCAGTAAAGGTATAATTAAAAATACTTTTGATTTCCACTAAAACCTGGATCCAAGCAAGATTACTCCTTATATGATTTTTGTGTTACTTCTTTACACACAACACATGCTCCTTCCACTGTAGTGTTCACTTTTTAATGGTTTTATGCATCTGCATTTGAAAAAGGGAAACATCTGAATATACGCTTGGCCAGTTATTTAAACTGCTTTTGGTGCATACAGTGTTCTTTAAACAATAGACAAGACAGAATTTTCAGTTGTAAATGTCACTGGGTATCTTCGATAAAGCAGCTGCTCTGCATTTAAATGTCTGGCAAAAAAGAAAAAAACTATTGTACTGTTGAGGTGTATATTTTATTATATCCCTTGTATCTGGTAGTTCTTCTTGAAATGTACCTGTCCGATAGTGTAAATATAAAAATATCATTAGAAATCATTTTCACTTGTATAATTCCTTAATGTTTTAAATTTCTGTATCAGGAGTAGTGTAGTGAATGTGTTTGATTCCTGATGAATAAAAGCTGATTAATAAATCCACTAAGGATAAGACTTGGAGGGACTCCATGGTTAGGCCTATAAAAGTTGTATATGAATATATACAATATAATCACACTGAATGATGAAAGCCCTACTTGCCTTCCTAGCAGGATTGACAGTTACCCTTAGCCAGTCAGTGAGCATTTGTATAACAAGAGCTGAAATGAGAGGAGGATGTGCAGAGGATGGAGAGTTATCCCAGGACAATTCAAGTATTTTTGGTACTTAAGTTCTTGTAAGTGGCAGAATAAAAAAGGAGAAGGTGTCAGTTTTGTTTTGCTTTATTTTATTTTGCTGTATTATCTTGAACTATCACTCAAACTCAGTTAAGAAAAAGCAGTTCCTGCCACATTTAAATGTGCCCACATTCCTGTCAAACAGAATTAATTTGCTCTTGATTTACTGTCTGATCAGGTGCCGCAACTATGATACAAAAAATTAGATTGAATACTCTTTCAGAGTGGAGAAACTCCTTTCCCAGCTGGGCTTTAACTTTGTCAGGAATTTCTTTACATCTTCAGTGTCTGGACTTTGTATTAATTATATCACTTTGGGATGTCTTGAAAAGTGGGTAACATTGTCCCTTGTTTGTAGTGTTGTAAAATGTTGCTTGATTTTTTAGATGATGAAGGTTTATTAGTGCTCTCTGAGCTTGGTTGTTTGCTTGCAGACATTTCATTACCCAACTAGGTAACATCATGCGTAATGAAATGTCTGTAAGAAAATAACCAAGCTCAGAGAGCACCAAGAACTCCACAGTTCAGTCCTGAGCTATAGATATTCTCTTCTATTGGAAGATTTATTAATTTATTTTAAGATAATGCTGAAAGATGCAAGAAAGTGTTCAGTTTAAATTGAGGAATAAAAGGATCTGGCCAAGGTGCCATATTTATGTCAAAGCACTAAAATTGTTATAATAGATTCTTGTATTAATTTGGCACATCTTTTTAATTTTGTATTTTTAAAATATGGTCAGAAATCCTAAATCTGCCCTTAGGTTGGATAAACTTCTACAAATAAAGGATACTGTGCAAGAAGAATATCTCCCCCTGCAGCCCTCCATTTTCCTCTCATCTGTTCTAAATGATCTCCCAGCCCTCTGGTTCCACTTTTAAAAAAGTGTGTATGTCTTCAGCAACAGAAGTGGATGATACAGAAAGTTCCAAGAAATTAGAACTAGATTTGGGCTAAAATGTTTCCACATATGTATAGATGTGGAAAGACTATGTTTTGTGAGAAACCAGTTTTGATATGTAGGAGAGATGGAAGGTACAAGATCTAAAAGGAAATGTTTTTGGGGAGAGCTGAACAAAATTAGAGTTCAAGGATACTTCCCACAAAGGACCATAGTTGTCTTCTTTGACAAATAACTGCAACAAATGTGACTTAAATAAAACGAGGAAGTAAGCATGCTAAGTATGTAACCTTGAGAACAAATATAAGCATGCATATTCTTGGTTTGCTGTATACATTTTACTTTTTTTGTTATATTCAAGAAACCTGTGGCTCCATTCTTATGTACTGTTAACCAGCAATAAGTTATATAGCTGTCTATTCCATTCTTAACTACTGTTAGGTGCCACTAAGAATATAAGCACATATTTTATTTTATAGGTGATGACCAGATGGAGAGAAAAGGACAGGTTTTGATACTTTTAGTGGAACAAGCACTCAAATTTCAGGATTACAAAGCTGCAAATATGCACTGTCAGGAACTTATGGCTTCAGGTAGAGTATATTTGCACCCCATCCATACATGATAAAAATGATCTTGGGAATTTTCTAGATTATATAAAATACCATGTTTTCCTCTGCTTTTCTCTTGAAATTTGATCAGCGCCCAATAAAACTTATTTGTGAGGTTTCTATAGATATGCTGTGACATTTTTCTGATCAGGAAGATTCTTGTTTTCTAGTGCAGAAGTCCTAAAGCCATTTATTTTGTCATTTAAAAAAACTGGAAAGAAAAAAGAGCATTTGTATGCTGAGTGAAGGGAGGCATATTGTGATGAGATATAGTTGGATATTGTATAAAAGGAGTTATTGAGGATAGAATGATGGATGCATATAGCTAATACATTCTCAATTTCCATTTAATTTCCACTCTGTGTTCATTTTTGTAATATCCATGGCAGGATACTCTAAAAGCTGGGAGGTTTGTAGCCAGTTAGGACAATCAGAAGGATATCAAGACATGGCTGTTCGGCAACAGCTCCTAGCCTATGCTCTGACGCACTGTCCCCCAAGTGCCATAGAAGTGCTGCTGACAGCAAGCAATATTCTGCAGACTGAGGTATGTCTTAAATTTCTAAAGCCCTGTTTACTGCCTCATTAAAGGAACACGTTATATCTTTATGCTAGTAGAGTATGAAACTGGATGATTGCTTTGAATAAAATACTTAAATAATAAAGCAAACCTGAAATGGTATACATGGGTTTGTATAAAGTTCTATTTTCAGTCAGTAATACTAAAAAAGATATTTTGTTATACTGTACATTAGAGGTTAAATTCATATTCTTATTTGAATAATCAGTAAATGGAATGGAAAAACACCTGAATACTACAACGTTGTATCTTCTTTAAATAAGTATGCCTTTTATTAGGAATTGATAAGGAAAAATCATTTCCTGTTAGAATAAAATGGATACATTTGGATGTTGTCACACTCCAGCTTTTTGTTATACATAAATATATCACCTACCCTTCCTCAACAACCACTCCTGGTTTGTGGATAACTTGTGGTGTCTGCTTGTGACATTCATCATCTTGAAAAAGAGAAGAAAAGCTAAAATCACCCATTTTTTCCTAGTTCTGCATAAATTTGTGGTAGTGGTTGAAGAAGCGAGTGGAGAGGAGAGAACTAACTGGTCAGGGACATTTATGGTTTGCAACCATAAGCAAGATTTTTGTATTCATTCAAAGAACTATTGCATTGTATTTTATGCCATTATCCATACAAGATTTCCACTCTGCTTTAAGCATATCCTTTCTTGTCTATTTTCATTTGTTCTAATATAGAGAGTAAATTTAGCCATCAGTCATAGGAAGTACTTTTATTATGCCAGTCTTTCCCAGAAGGGAACTTCTGAAATGATGGTGAAGATGAAGATGTCTGAGCCCAGTCAAAATGTGCAGTTTCTAAAGCTAATATTCCCAGACTGTGAAATAGGTAACAGAAGCTGGTCTGGAGAGTCCTTAGAATACATGCATTTTTTTATTTCTGTTCCTTATTACAGATTCTGCAGCACTATATATATTTATGTTCTTTATAAGTTAATGTAACCCACCTTAAAATTCTTGCTCTTTGAATAGTTCTTTCTTCATTTTCTTTTTTTACCTTTATGCATTGTTTCTCATGATGTACATAGAATATATTATAAATGTTCTTTCCTTCCCCCCCCATTTTTTTTAATAATTACAGGGAAGGCATGGATTCTGACTTTTCAACTTTTTGACACAGACTGTGTTA